TCGCACAATAATTCCTATATCTCAAGCAAGTATAATAAATCTGTTTAAACTCGTTCCAACGTATTTTATTATTTCTTTTTTTAATGCCATTAAAAAAAGATCGAACTTAGTAACTAAGTTGGAACACAAGTAACGATTATCGAGGAGCATCACCCACAACAAATATACTTAAAAGTCATGCGTTTTCTTTGGTTTTGCACTGCTACGCTTAGTGATCGACTTTGAAAATTCTCGCGCCAAATTCTCAGCTAATCAGAAGTCAAACCAAAACCAATCGTAACTCGCTCACGCACATGTTTTCCCGCGCTTTGCAGCGGCCACCTATATTTACTTTGATCCCTGATTGGTTCGCTGGATATTCTGTGTCCTTTTGTAATTGGCCAGATTAATTTTGATTTTCAATTAAAAGCCGCCCTGACATAGAGTGGAGAAGTATCTAGGAAAGTATACTCTTTTCACGTAAAGACCAAGCCCTGCTGTAAATTCATAATAACAATAACAATAACAATAACAATAACAATAACAATAACAATAACAATAATAATAATACGAATACTAATACTAATACCAATAATAATATAATAATAATAGTAGTAGTAATTTTTTTAAATAAACTTTGTTGACTACTTTTTCGTACAAACTTGAATCTTACATGTATCTGGTAAAAAGTAAATAACACATATTAAAACATAGTAAAAAGAAAATAACACATATTAAAACATAGTAAAAAGAAAATAACACATATTATACTAGCCTCAGCTACAGTTCGCTCCATGAAGGAAACTAAGAGTTTTGGCGCTATTTAAAAGTTTTACACTGTACTGTGACGCTTAAAATTTCGGAAGCTTAAAAATTTCGGACGGTTTTATTTTGGGGCATTTTTTGTCCGAAATTAAAATTGTCCGATAATTTTGGCAAGTAATGTAACAAGTTTAGGTTTGGGGGCCAACATTCCAAAAAGAAAGTGAACCTAGGCAACACTTCCAATTTGCCTGTTCTAGAATATTTTCCTGTAACGAAAAAAAGGAGTAAACATAAAGCAAAATTAAAATAGGATGGAACAGGCTCCCTGTCAACCTTTGCCTTATTTGCTTTTTTTACGTTTTTTCTTCTTATGCTCCTCTGTTCTCGTTTCTTCTGAGGTTTCTGGGGCAGTCTTCAGAGGAGGCAATGTAGCTTTTGCACCAGATCGACTACCTTGTGGTGAGAGCACGTCATGCTCCCGTGTACTCGGCGCACTGCCTTCCTGAGCACCCGACTCATCATCACCCCCAGACATATCATCAGTCTTCTGATATCCGACCGTTACGGCCGCGACAGGCTGGTTATGAGTACCACTGTTGCAAACTTTAAGGTAACAAGTAAGAAAGAAGATGAAAAGGATCACCTATAAAACAATCGCAGTGTGTCAATTTTCTCTTAAAGATATATAATATAATCCCAATAAAAAGTCAGTTGGTGGGCTTTGCGAGGTCGAACCAAGTGTCCTTGTGTTGGGCGTATAGCTGTTATATAGACCAGACACACTTTCACATACATACATACATACATACATACATACATACATACATACATACATACATACATACATACATACATACATAC